ATAAAAATTCAAATAAACAATTTATACATACACACACACACACACACTCACACATAGACACGCGCACGCACGCACGCCCGCACGCACGCACACCCACACCCACACACACGCACGAACACACACAGACACACAGGCGTCCAGCATAGCCTTTTACCTAAGACGCTGATTTCCTAAGGAGTACCATATTTGATGCAATAAGGGTACCATGATAAAACCTTACTGTGGCAACCATCTATTTATGTGAGAAAGAAACGAAAACAGTGGTGAAAGTTATGGTTGTTACATACAACTGAGTAAAGGAATAAACACAATATAACCACCTAGTATTCTACCACAAATCAAAACAGCTTTGCCAGACGCTAAAAACATGAGTAATTAGCAACCTGGACAATTGTCACTTTCATCAATACGCGTTTCTGTTCCCCGATTATCAGCTTACTTTTTCCCAGCTTGAACTCTACTGTAAGTTTATCTATCTTCCGCTTTTTCTCCACATCTCCCTGGACATAGTCATCAGTTAGCAATGAGTTCATATGGCGATAGTAAGACATTAACACAAAGGTATAGTGAAGTAGTCGTTAGGGCCTTAATGAGGTTAATGGATCAACTGATCGACCCGTCAAGGAAAACACTTGTCCACTACATGCCAGATTGAGCTATCCACTAAATCCGACTGCTAACTAGTGCCGCCGCCACCTGTAGAGGAGAAGATACTCTGTTTGTCGAAACCCTTTTCCTCCACTGAGTGCTCAACGGTCAGAATGCTGTTGTCGTCCCTGTCCTGATCTTGCCTGAACTTGAAGGGCTGCCGTGTAGTGTTGCAGTAAAATACGACAAAGTGTTCGTGTTTGTCAAGCAAGTCTGACACGACAGAATCGGCGGGAGCGCGTTAACGGCTCTACTTAGTAGTCACTGAGGTGGCAGCTCTAAATGCTTCTTCTTGTCTCTCGTGTCCTGCGGTTCGTCTCCTGAACAAACACCCGGGTACGGCTACACCTATGGTAGCTTGTACTCTGACCATTCGAATCAGCCATCCTTAAGCTGTGTAGCCGGCCTGCCCCAGTTGCTGAAGCGGGGCAAATTAGATTCAAGCCTCGAGGCATTTGCCGATCGTGGAGAAAAGTTGTGCAATACCGTAGGATCGGGTCAAGTCTAGATGCTGTGCAACTGAACAAGTCGGTATTCGAGACTGTTCCTTTTAGAAAACTCACTCATTCTCCCCTTGTTGTTGCGGTTATTGTTACTGCAGTTATTGCTGTTGTCGTTGTTGTTCATAGAAGAAAATTCGACAGTTTTTCGGCCTTTCAGTGAGTGGTATGTAAGTTTACAACTCTTACCACTACTACTACAACAGCTACAACAGAATTCAGTAGTAGAAAAAAAAAAAAGGTGCCAAACCGTGGTAACCTAGTACAATGGTATAGAAGGCATTTGAACTCGACGACCCTCGTTACAGACACAAACTTACAAAAGGGCTCCAACCTTGTAAGAGACGATGCGCGTGTTATGAACTGAACGGTTACACAATGACCGTACACTCTAAAGTTCAAGAGAAAATCAAAATACATAAGAATGTACAATATAAAGTTGCATTGACCGCAAGCGTTTCCTGTATAAGGACGGACAAAAGCGACTGGCTATATAAATTTGTCGTTTCAAAAGAGCCTTTCTAGGCCCGCAGGGGCTTGTCAAAAGCGCGTTCGCGTGCGATGTCCATTCGATTGGAAAGCGTCCATATACGATATAGTTACAGCAAGACGTTTGTTGTCTTTAAGATCTATATAACAGGAAAGATAGCATAGACGCCTTCCTTGAGCATATGACGTTCCGTGTTACTACCCACCGATGTACACGTAACATATCCTTTTACTGCAGACGTCGAGAAGCTTTCGAGGTCACGCGGGCTTTGATTTATATTTACATTTATGTACAGACACTCGATAATTGGCGCTGGTTGCGAATGCGTGATGTTATATAAGAAAAAGAAGATGGAAGTATTTCTAGATACTTAGTTCATTTAGGTCCGTTTATCTGAGTTTATTGGTTGTGTTTTTACCTCGCCTTCGAAATGTCTTTTGAGAAAGCTGTACCGCCAAGACCCAGCCGTATATTTATCCTAGGAGAAATACGAGATTGTACGTATACATTGTAAAAACTGTGCGTGCCGTGGCGGAAAACAATGCATAGCATTGTGAATCTTTAGATTAGATGTTTTACGTAATGAGCTTGTAAAAAGCTTCAATAAAAACGAGAAACACTTGGTACGCTATCTTGAACAGATTGAGGCATGTCATCATCGTCAGCAGCGGTAACAATAACAGCAACAACGAGCATTACGACAAAAGATTACCGTGACTATTGCAATTACTGATAAACGGACCCTTCACATTAACCATCGGTACGTGCAGTCTATGCAACGTCTCATGCGATTTCCGTGAGTGACAGCTTGCAGTTTGTCAATCGAGTGCAAAAAGCAGATACTCCTTCTTACCACGTAACAAGTCAGCACTTCTGCCAGATAAAACAAATGCCAGCCGTGTTGATCCAAGTAGTAACCCAAATGTCGGCCCGAGACCCGGCGCGTCTCAAATCACGGCACCGCCATTTCGTGCAGATTAGTGGCTTAAGTGCGTCGCCGCATGAGCATGTATGCACAATGCTCCGAGCCGAATGACGGGGTTTACGTGCTGAGAGGCACGAGTAAGAATGTTAGAGACCTGCAGCAGACGAGACGATTAGGAACGTGCAACAGATGCTGGTGAATCAATTGGTAGGAATGTGCGAGAGTAAACAACATCAAATTTTTCAATGATGTCTGGCTTCATGCTAATTTCAGCCGTCAAGCCCAGCTAGAATTCCCACCTCCATCCTATCAGATGCTTCGCAGACCATTAGGCCTACGATCCTCTTCACTCTTTAGCCTGAAATATCTATTTCTCTGTGCAGGTGTTTTTTCAACTTTTTCGTTTTACTTTAACGAAATATTCCATTTTTATGTACCGCCCCTAGTTCGACAGCTGAACCGTACCCTACGTGCTGTATCCCATTAATCTAGAGGTGCCAATCAGCAGTTTTGGTCTTCTGCCAATCGGGCCTAAAAGCGTTGTAGTCTAGGCTGTGTATTATATCGTTCTCGTTCCTTGCTCCTTTTGTGTATATAGATGCCATGAGCATGATTGAGGTACACTCTACAGATACTGTATTTGAAAGGACGAAAGTACTGCAACGGTTAAAAGGGCATGAAGGATACAAAATTGATTCCAATCGGACCTTACAACGACCATAGAAATCACTGTGGTTCTATAGGAGGAAATTTTTGCTCTTTGGTCAAAGCATTTGCACTTGTGTGTTACTACTCTATTGCGCAGTAATATAAAATTAAATTACAAGACCGTACACGAATTTTTGTTCGATCTACATTTTGATGAGGCCGCACAATTGGCGGAGGTCAAACTTGTTTATGATGTCTTATTATATGCTTGACACCTATTAGTGAACAATTGTTGCTTCAACTAACTGTAACCTGCAAAAAATTCACTGGATAAGTACTTACATACTTGAAGTAATAACATTCAAGTGAAGAAAGCACATAGACGATAATCTATCTAAAACTGTGGAAAGCAATCATCCAAATTTAGTTAAATTATAAGACCATTACATTTATTATGTCTTTCAAAGCAGATCTTGAATAAATTCACAGAGGCTTAAACATACGGAGCGCAGCTTATAACTGGTTGCGACCAATATTGCCTGTATTTGGCTTTTTAGAGACTGCGGAAACGTAAGTTTATCGTAGTGATCTGTAAAAGGCAACTTAGTACTATTCGTAAGTACGTTAAGAATCAAATCAGCTGATCAAACAGGACCCAAAATAAATTCTAGATGAAGATTGTAGAAAGGATGTAACATATTAGAAGTGCTTGATTTTTACGGGAATACCAACAAGGAGCTTTAGGATGACAAGGGACTAGATCGTTGAAAATTAGCAATTAACGAATCATCTATTAGACAGTTCCGCGGTTTTTTTTGTACGCGTCTCAGAATTATAAATGTTAATAACATTAACTGTAATTTAACATTCTGAAAGACATCTCTTGTGATCCTTATGCTTCCGGATAACTATTGCCCAGTGAGCAAGCTTGATCGCCCCCTGAAATTTTTTAAAATTTCAATCGCGATCTTAGACAAAATTTTGCATGGGTTACTAAGAAAATCTAGGAAAATTCGCTGTATTGACAGAAATCCTAATTACAGATATATGAGCTGAGGCTGATTTTGAAATCTACGAAACTGAAATAAAAAATTGTTCGATATTAAGGTTACCCATATGAGAGATGCAAGTACGGTCAGACCCAGAGACCGTTAGAAATAATCGAACTAGTGGTGTGTTTGCACTAAAAATGATCACATAAACAAAGATGGGCTCTTGTGGACAACCATTTTTCGATTGAATATGCTCGTTTAATTTTTACTAATTCGCTAAAAAATATTTGTCACATCATCGCTTGATCACGTTAATAACATACACATTTTTAATCTTTCGGACAGCACATGATAGCAGCTCTTCCAGACAGCATCATAACCCCACCGAGACATTACATCGTCTGTGCAAGTCCGATTCTGTACCGCTCAGTTGATGTTCAGCCCTTCTCTCTGATCGGCGGCCCTCTCCACATTTATACTGCCCTCTCCACGTCGGTTCTCCGATCCTGTGGCCCCCTTGATCAGCACACTGATGCTCGCAGCCATTGTATCCGCCGGGATTTTGACGTTTGTCCTGCTGCACTGCCAGCAGCAAATTATGCCTACAGAAGGCCACGTTCTAGGCATTGCAGATGTTGCAGCTTTTTTGCTTTCTCTGTAGAAGTAGGCTTGAGAGGCACAGACAGGCTATAGCCAGGTGAATAGCGAACCCTTCAGAATGCTTCGATATAACGGGTGGCAGTCGCGAGTTGCGACCAGCATTGCGCGCCATTAGGTGAACTGGTAGTGTCGGTATCTAACAAAACTTTGATGAGAAACATAAAAAATAGTTGTGTGTGATGGTCTCGGGTTGATCAGGATTAAGTCTTTACATTAAATCGTGCAGCACCTATACGCCGTTGTATATGATGACATCACGATGATGCGCACCCTGACAAGGATTTCTAATTAATCTCATCAAGGAAGATATCGTTTGGGGTTCGAAGTGTCGATGTTCGTTACCCAATTGGGAGTTGAGTTCGATACGGATATAAACAAGTGTATAGACCCGAATGAAGGGACGAGCTACAATAGCTGCTTAAGCAAAGTGATTAATTATCATTCTGGCTGGCCTATCAAAGGCGAAAAGCAAAAAAGGACTTCGGACAATTGTGTATAGTGAGGTGAATCATGCGCGATAAACTAAAAATGTCGCGACGACAGCAATATTTGCTGTCTGTAACGAGTAGCCTTGATCGGACAATGTTCAGCAAACGGCGATCTGCTACAGGGACTGATTTGAGGCTGTGCACGTTAATGGTGATGATTGGTTTGATCGTGCATGTTTTCGGTATTTGTTGCGAACTAACGACGCTGGCAAGTGCATCTCGCGTGTACGTCGATTCTAACGATAACGCCTACCGAGGGTTAGTTATTGCAATATCTCCAAAAATCAAACCGCATCATGGCAAAGTTCTTATACCAAATCTTGAGGTAAGTAAACATTTAATCGGAGGAAAGTTATTGTGGTACTACTATACATGCTTGGCGATCTTCAAGAGGCTGTTTTCGCCCAGCTTCATGGTACTGTGTTATACAGAAGTAAAATAAATTCCGGCAAAGCTTTAGCTATAAATTCACTTGGCACGTCCATTCAGCTCATAGTCCTGCGTTTTCATTCTTCTGTAACAGCTGTACGTTAAGAAAATGCCAAAATAAGCCGATATCTTCTATATAATTATATATACTTCGGCAAACGTTTGACTCCAAATTGCGAAATTAGCCATGTAAAAAACAATTAGCGTCGCGGTACGCCGTCTTGTTCCGTCTCGCCTAAAACACTAGTACCGGCAAATGCGGAAAACGATACGCGCACTTAATACCATTACTATTCGCCGGTTGACTGGGTTCTGGGGTTGTACTTCGTGGACGCTGGAAGCTCACAGCGGCTATCAGCACTAGAGAAATAACAACCACCAGAAAAGCAACAAGAAGAACAGCCTCGAACACAATAACGATGAGCCGACTACGGTGATATTGCCCAACAAATCACGTGTTTCCTAAAATTATTTCGCTGGCGACAGATTTAACACGCTCGATGAAGGGAAACACTCGGAGAGCGTCGGACGTGAGGCCGAAGTGCATGTAACTTTGCTGATAGTCAGGCGATGATCATGAGCGCATATGAAGGCAGAAGGGTTTAGGAGAAATCTGCTATACAAAAACACTTAACTTGTCCTTTACTAAATTGATGATTAGAGTTCAATATGGTTCTGAATTTAACTCATGCTTCTGTTTAAGTCGAAATCGCTTCAAACATAGGCAAAGCAAGTTTAATATTGAGCTTGCGACATCCGTATTATTATTTCCACTGGCTTCTTTCAATTCATCGGCTGGATATCTCGTTGAGTAATCGATCGAACACTTATGCTTTCTTATACTTCCATAGCATCGGATTGCATTTATATATAAAAATTTTAATTTTTCGTCAAACAAAATCTAGTTCTGTAATCTTCCAGCCACATAGACGTGTGTCAGCGTAAATGCTGGTCAAATGGGAATCCTAATGCTAGCGCTGATTAGTTTCAAATTTTACGCCCTTTGCTCCTAGGTTACGGAAATGTTAATTACATGTCAAAACAAATGCTGAAATTGGGGGCTGACCTTATTAATAACTAACTTCGCAGCGAGAACAACGAACAATGACTACTACGTCAAAACAAAGACGAAAGGGCTCATGCTACATACAATAACATTGTAAAATTAAATCGTAACTTGCGTAAAGTGTGCGTCAAGTCAATAGAAGGACGATCCATAACTTGGCGTTTTTCAAAAACCATGCGGCAACTAAAGTATTAGAAGCGGAACAGCTATCGTCTGTCCAGTGTTAAACATGTCTGAGCGAAGATAAACAATCGGCATTATTATTTGAATCGTTGTAAAGAGACAAACAAAGCAGGTTGTCAACATCAATGAAAAATATAAATTTGCGATATAGCAAATTTGCTGGTCTTCATTAGTGCATAGGGTCGTTTGTTTACATATAATTAGCAATTCGTAGATACTTACCTTAGTACAAGCTTAGTTCATAAAGTAAAATCAATATTTAATTTATCGTCGATATCGGTTGAGCGTCGAAGTAAACACTAACGGTATAGAATAGTGTTCATCGCATAATTATCATAGAGGTACCTATTCAACTTATGTTCAAACTTCGAGCATATATATCCTTCACAGTGCATATACATAGTGTGAAGTCCGACCTAAATGTTCAGCCTAGCGTTGCAAAGCGTTATCGTGTAGTGTACATAATTGTCAAAGATATGCCGTTACCGATATGGGTAAATGACCAACTCATCAAAACGAGGACGTAAACGTTTGATCACTAGTATCAGTAGTAAATATAACGATGTCCATGGTAGGACTAGAATTAGTTTTTTTTTTTTTGTATTCGTTGCGTTATTCCGTTGATAATATGCACTAGCTGGCTTTTCAGTGACGAGCTATATAAGATAAATTGATCTCAATGTAATAGACTCTTCATGGTAGACCGCGTTCTAACTTCGTACTTCCTTTATATCGTTACTTAATGATTCCGTTTTGCTTTACGACAATAATCGTATAGAATTTCTATATACGCATACGTACGACGCCAATACGTTGTACGTCTGCACAAAATGTCTTTACCGAACAAATACTTTTTCCACAAGCTCCAATAAGAACACAGCATGTGAACCGGATGCAGAAGTCAATTCGAAATGCTGCAATGTCCAAAGCCCCAGCTCGTACGGCTGAAATTATTTGCTTATAGCATCACTCGTCACTACGTATTTATACAAAATCGATACTGTGCGACCGTCATATTACTTGTTATATATCTATTTTTAAAGGTCACATGAGTAACAAAAAGCTTAGTTAGCTTATTCTCGAACTATGCTACCCGCTATCAGCAGTTCATACTGTTGACTGTAGTTGTCGGGGTTAGTCTAGATTGAGGGTCGTTATACGGAGTTTGCTGTAAGGGGGTCTGAATAGGGGCGGAAAAAACGGGGGCAAAACGCGGGGTAGGTCACCTACCATTCAGGCGCGTGGTTAGTTAAAACAAGTTCGATAGATGATCTTCTTCCACGAAGAGTTGGACCACTGACTGCTCCTTGAGAGCAATAGTGCGTTCCATTCAGCCTATCAGGAGCAAAGGTTCCCAGTTGGATGGCAATATTTCGATTTTAAGTCACGCTAACCCGCTGCAAAGTATCACAAACGCTTCCGTCCTAGCCACTGCTGCCGCGACCTGCACTTCGTTGTTATACCTTGACTCGTTCCTCTGCAGAAAATAGAAAGGCGTCGTGCACCGTGTTTATCTACCACATAGCTTGCACTCGTGCCATTATCCATAACCTAGTAGCTGATTGGAGCTATTTCAAAGAGTCCAAAATTGCCTAGTAATAATAGCAGCTCAACGTATGTTTACTTTAACATTCTGATGAACGATCTTTCCTCACCCAGTAATGGGCGAGTATATTGACATACTATAAACGTACGTGAATAGGGCGAAGGAGCAATAGGACAGCGTACAGGCCAAATAAAGGATCTAGTCAAATTCTCGCAAAAAACAGTGCAACTTCTGTAGTGTTTGAAATTTTCACAAGTTTTGGTTAAAACAATTAGTTAGCCACAAATACTCATCCTGCTTGTAACGTGTCTATCATTCGCCCATTTCCGTGTAGGCCGTAAGTCCTGTTTACCTAGGGCGAGATGCAGAGGTCCATTTCGATAACTATTGATCTATGAGCAGCGTTTTGGGACTGTTGTTGGATTACTATCTCAGTCGATATTTAGTTGTTGACCACGCTTTCCATGTCTTCTGTCAAAAGTATTAGCTACGTAGTTCTTTTCTCGTTCGACAGTCGCTTAAAGTGTCTAGGCAATTCGACTTGGCCGATTTACAGCGAAACCTTAAGTGTGTTGTTTACTTGCCATATCGACTTGGGCTGGTCAACTTTGAGCGAAGGTTAAGCTGGACACACTGTGATCAGGATCGACTGGTTACCGTGCAAATGCGATCGTTCCCCTATGGGGAACGTTTGGCTACCTGCGAACACCCGCCTACCTTAGCCTTTGTGCTGAGTGCGTGTATATATGAAAACGTCAGTAAATTATTCCAAACCTGCCAGGCGCTTGGCATTTAGCGCTAATATTTATACCGCTCTGCTTTAGGTCAATGCAAGGATCAGCGTAGTAGGGAAAAATCGACGTTGTTGCTGGCGTCGAAACCTGTTGGTTTAACGATAAGTCTAAGTGTCCTTTAATCGGGCAGAAAAAAATATTGTATTTCAGCCGATGCAATTCTAAATTTGCGGTTGCTTAAGATTTCGACGAAAAAAAACAAGATTATTTAGTAGCTATTCTATGGTGAACACAGAAAGGGGGAAGTAAGATGGACTTGATATACGTATATGTACAACATCGTTGATAGGAACCTTCAAGCTATTTTCATACTCAAGCATAGAAGTCCTGCGATCCAGTGCACCCCTTTGGTGGCCTAGGAACAATAATAATAAAAATTATTGTTATTATTACCAAATGTACGTGCTTTGATCGTTTCTCAGGCAACATTAAACCTTTTAGCAATTACCTCTGAGTCTTTTCGTAAAATGTTGTCTTTTTTGTCCAAATGAATAGTAGTTGTCTTCAGCTTTTGTCTCTTCTTCGGGAAGTGTGGTTAATTGAGCCGAAAAAATCCACCTTCTCTTAATACACTACAAATACAGTCAACTAACGAGTACAGCAACTTCATGCCTACTAAAACTTGCCAGCAACGTTTCGCCGCGGCCATCTTCGCCCTTTATCCATACCAACCAACTCATCATCTTCCAAGTCAACTGCAGCTTCTTCCCCTGGCTCATATCTTTCGTCTCACTCCTTCACTAAAACGAAAATGCGTCTAGTACCCTTGCCCACGCCGCCCCCGCTGCAGCTATGCTATTGATAGCATTGTTGTTATTGCCGTCGTCGTCGTCGTCGTCGCCGTTATCGTTGTCGAAGTTGCCAACCAGCGCTTGAACTCATCTTTCCTATCTGCTGAGTCGTACGTTTCGATCTATAATAGCTTGTTTTATGTTCAAAACTGTGTCCTTCCGTCGCTATGTGGCTGGCTCTTACGGGAGCTCGTGCTAGACGAGGACGCTGTTAACGACAGCGGCAACATCGAGGCTCGCCCTTCCGTTTTCGTCATTGCTATCCGTAGTTTCTCTGCGGCCTTTGATGCCTTCCCTTAATGGCACGCCCTCTTTCCGCTACTTTTTCTTCGTCGATTTTTTTGCAGACACAGACCGAGTCAAACAGAAGGAAAGACGAACGATAAGAACGAAAGTAGTATGCGAAGAAGACGACGCAACACTGCCACTGCACTCCCACCACCGAAGCCGTGATAACTAGCTTCTGTAGCTAGAAATGTCATTACAAGAGCAAAATTAGCAGCCGACGCAGAAGAC